ATAAATACAGTTTACCACATGTATTAATCTTAATAGTTACAAGCTGTTAATCTTATATATTAGGTAATAATTTGCAATAAATAATTGTTTATTATCTTGATGTTTGCTTGTCTTGGGTTTTAGCAATATGCAATAAAGAAATGCAATTTTGAATAATTTGATTGTAAGACTGCTGGGAAAATACTGTATGTTATAATTAGCTGTGAGAGGATTCTGCTCACAAGAAGAACCATGGCAATGGGGCACAATACCAAAAATATGCATTCTTAGCACATAAATAATGTAAAAAGTTCAGGTCTGTTCCAAACCAGGTAGAACGTTCCAGACGTCAAGGCAAATGCAATTATTGAAAAGAGATGCACAAAGCAAGACGCCCCACCCAGACTGCCCAGCTCCGAGCCAAGAAGGAGACAGCGCTGCTTTGGTTAGAAAGAGCTGCCCCACCTTGACCACCTGGTCCCGTCCCCAGGCCAGGGCCCCCCTCAGCCCATAGCGGCTCTACAGTCCCAGCACCCTCCCGCCCAGCCCTCGAACCAGCCTGGCCCATTCCATGTGAATCCTGGGAGTGGTTGTCACCTCGACAAAACTTAGTAGAAACCGTTAGTCTTACTTGTAAGGGGAATAATTTGTCACAAATAATTGTTCCTCATCTGAGTATTTGCTTCTCTTGGAGTTTAGCACGAAGCGATACAGCAATGCCATTTTGAGTGATTTGATTGTGAGACCCGCCGCCGGGAAGGACTGAATAGTAAGGAGCTTAGAGAAGGTCTTGTGGGCGAGACACCGCCCCCCAATCCTGCCCCCATCTGCTCTGGCTGAGAGCTGAGCTGGCAGGTGAGCACCCAGCCAGGGGACAGGCACTCCACCAACCCCAGGGCGGCCCTTCTCGGGCTGACCTCCCCTTCGGGAAGGGGGCCTGTGGGTTCCTCCTGGGCCTGAGACCCAGTCGCTCTGCGCTGGCTGCTGAGACGGGCCCTGAGGCAGCCCAAGGCCAGCACTGGGGGGGCGGGGGGTGGTGGTTACTAAGAAGGGTCTCAGCAAGACCCCACAAGCCCCTCCCCCCTGCTGGCTATTTGACCCCAAAGTGCACCTGTTTCCCTGGGAAGAGCATCACTGGAGGGAGTTACTATTCTCCCACCACTTCCCAGGGAGGCAGCCACGTCCTGATCGTCCCTGCAGCTACCTAGGTGGGACCAAGATGAGACTGTGGTCCAGGGAGACCGGTCTGCACAGGACCCCACAGGCAGGACTGACTGCCAGACACACTGACACCGCAGTAAAAGCAAGAAAGAGAGGGAGGGAGGGAACACAGAGTCCGGGACGCCTCCCCATCCGAGCAGCGGCGTGCTCTAGGGGCTAGTTCCACGCCCGAAGTACTCCCCGCCCACCCCCTGTCGAGTAGAAGGCTCCTGGCAGGTGCCGCGAGACCGGGTCTGCTTTTCCTGCTTTTACCGGTGGCCCCTGGCCGCCTCTCTCGGAGGCCGGGACTGGCACGGCCCATGGCCGCTCAGCAGGGCAGCAGGACAGCGGGACAGCGCAGGCCACAGGCCCTTGCTGCCTGGACTGGGCTGCAGGAGCAGGCTGGGAGCTGAGCCATCACAAGGAAGTCCCCCGTCACCCTGAGCAAGGGTCCCTACTCTCAGCCAGGCTGGGAGGGGACTAATCTCCCAGCAAACCCACTGGGGGGCGGCGCGTCTCTTTAGGTGTCCTTTTCCCAGGCCCCGGTATGAGCTATGAGACGAGGGTCTGGGTGCTATTGAAGCGGTGGGTCCCTGGGTGGAGGGGCTTGTCATAGTCTCCCCACGATTCCAAGGGGTCACCAGTAGCAGCCCCCAGGAATGCCGGGGCCGTAGTCAGGAGGCACTGGCCACGCTGGGCTGCTGGTCTAGGATTCCCGAAGTCAATGTCACGGCCACCAGGGGGGACCTCGGGCTCTCGTCGAAGTCCCGTGAAAGGGAACGGGAGTCTGGAAAAGTCTGCTGCTTGGAAGCAACCGCCTCAGAGCCCCGCGACGACGAGGAGCACAGAGGAGCCAAGCGAGCCGGCCGGCCGACGGACCGGCGGACAGAGCAGCGCCCTCCTCCCGGCCTGAAGATGGGAACTGCCATCCTGTCCCTGGGCGGCGGCAGGGTAACTGCGGAAATCACGCAGCCAGATGAAGCTTATAAATTTCCCTTATGAACAATTGTTTTCATTTCCCTCCCATGCCACTAGATATTATAAGTGGAAAGCAAAACACAAGTAAATATGTTCATTCCACTCTTGTGATCAGTGATAAACGAGAGGCTGCGGAGGCTGACAAAGGTCAGCTGGCCGCGCGCGGCGGGTCTGCGAGCGGACACTGCCACCCTCCGGCCGCTTGCGGAACTGCGCCGTCCGGCGCCTCCCGATCGCCGGCCTGCCCGCCGGCCCGCCGGCTCGAGCTGCAGGCCGGCTTCCCGGAGAGGTTCCCTTAGCACCAGACGGGTCATCAATAGGAGCCGTGTGCAGAAAAATTAGGAGGCACGGAAAACCCCGAATAAAAAAATAACAATCATCCATAACCCCTCTCCCAAAGGCTACCACTCCTATTTTCATCTGAGTCCATTTTTCTTGGAGTCTTATTGCCTGCACGTTCGCCGATGTGTTTAAGAAGTTATGTGTACAGGGATAATACAAACGTGTCCAGATGATGTGAAATCCTGATTTTTCTGGGCACTAGTTTAAGTTAGGTTATTTCCAGAAATTCATATTTTTAAAGGGCTTCAGAATATTTCAATTGTCCAGAATGTACATTATTTAGCCATTTCTCTATTCATTCCCAGTATTTTTAACGTTGTAAGGGATGCACCAATTAAACTTCGAATCCATATATCGTTTTTTGGTTTTAAGATAGATTGCTAAAAGTGGAACGACTCCGTTGAAAGGAATTAATACCTGAAGGCCCTAAATAGCATTCATAATTATTTTCCAAGTGAGTCCTGCCGAGATGAAGATTATCCCAAATGGTGCCTGGTGCTCAGATGACCAAGCGGAGAAGGACCACTTGTACCTGGACCGGTAAGGGCAGTCTCATCGATGTGGTCCTTCCACCCCATCCTTTGGAACGCAAGTTCAGTCAAAAGTTCACAAAGACAGGTCCAGTATTCTGCCACGCTGGTGCCACGTTTCCGTCAGAAGGGCGCATGAGTAAAAGAGAAAAGTCCACGAAATAACACTTGGTGGCGGGTGACAACGCAGTGGATGTGCCGGGTCACAGAACTGTCCCCACAGAAAAGTAGACCATTGGAAATGTGTCCTTTATAGTTTACAATAAAAATATACATGTATATACTACAAAAAAAGCAAAATAAAAAGCTCTAAGAAATGTTTTTAAAATTCAGAAATACATACATAAACATATGTAAAATGTGTGTGAAAAGAAAGAGAATAGAAGAAGGGTCTTACTCAACCAGATATTAAAATCCAGAAAGCTGCCATAATTAAAACAGCGCAACACAAAATCCCACGGGCAGAAATGAACCCAGATGCACACGCTTTAGTATTTTAACATAAAGGAATTTCAAGTCGGTGGGGAAAGAGTGGTCCATCGATAAAGAGATGGGTACAATCTGTCACCCATTTGGGAAACAAATAAAATCCGTGCCCTGCCTCCTACAAATTCTGTGTCTGTATTAAAACAGAAGCCATCAGAACTGAAGGTTTGAATTTTTAAGTGAAACCATGACAATGCCATTGACATCCACCTGGACTAGAGAAGCCTCTTCCAAGCCCAGCTGCAAAGACAGGTACATTTGAAAGGGCGGGAATTTTAAGTATCCACACGTGAAAAGCCCATCTGGAGAGTGAAAGGGAAGCCAAGGGTTTCCGTGGGGCAATCACGTGTTGAGAAGGAGAGGAGCGATAGGCAGAAGAGTAAACACAGATGATAAATCAACGCATCCCACTGCCCTCCAGTCTATTCCGGGACACAGAGCGAGATGCTTAACCTTACACAGAAATGCAAATGCAGCACAAATGGAAGACCCGCCCCGCTGCCCGGCAGCATCGTGCAAAGTGAAACAATGGTCATTACTAGCGGGCGTGGGAGAGACCGGCACTTGGACGTCCCTGGTGAACGGGGAAATAGGAACCTTTGTGAGGAAGGATGATGGGGGGACGGGGGGGACGGGGGGACGGGGAAGGGCTGTGTATAAATACAGCAAGTTCTTTAAAGTAATGTACAAATGCATTTCATGATATTTGCAAGGATTTTCATAACAGACTCTAATAACAGGAAGAGGGTTACTGTTATTTGTAACAGGGTTACAAATCATTTTTAATATTCTTTTGGTGATGGGTATTTTCTGCATGTCTATGTCTAATGATTTCCTATCAATTGTCAATGAAAAGGGGGTAGTGTTCATGGTTTATCAGAAGTGTTGCTCCGAATTATAGTCTCAGCAGCAGTGCATGTGAGTGCTTCTCCAGGCACGCATGCATTCACTCCTCAGATCCTCTCAGGACAGTCACTCGGAGCAAGGAGAACTCCGGAAGCTGAGCTACAGCCAGCAACAAGACAAAGGCCCGTCCTCACCGCGCTGACATCCCAGGGCCCTGGAAGCAAGGAAGCCAAGAAATCAGAGTCCGGGAGGCAAACAGGCAAAAAGAGAGCAGGGGCAGGGAAGGGAACTCTCTCGGAGAAAGGTCAGGGTGCCTCTTTGAGAAGGGGACGTTCCAGGGGAGACCTGCATAGCTTGAAGAAAGAGTGCTATCCGGAACTGGGCCAAGCTTCCTGGCAGAGCAAGCAGCTAGGTCATAGGTCCGAAGGTGCCTGAGCAGGGTCTGAAAGGAGCAGTCAAAAGACCTGGGAGGAATGGGAGGCTCCCGCCCTGACCTCCAGTCCATTCGGATGCACTACAGCCCTCTCCCACCCCAGCCCTGCAGCCACGGAGCCAATGCCCGCTCAAACAGCCCTGTCGGACGAGGTAAAACTGCCCCCTTGGGTTTCTGAGACTGTAAAACTATTTGTTTGTGTGTTTGTTTGTTTGAAATTAGTTCATATGTCACAAAGAATTTAAATCAGCTGCAATTTTACATTTCCTCCTTTTATAACCACTCAAACCAGTGTTTAGGTCTGATGGGTAAGGAAGCTGGAAGGTTTTCAAGACTATAAGCCCTCTCTCTCTCTCTCATTTATCTATCTATGTAATAAATTAATTTTATTTATTTTTATTATTTTCCCCTTTTATTTGTGGAATATAACACATACAAAGAAAAACATACTATATTTAGTTACACAGCTCATTACATCAAAACAATGACAGAATCCCAGCAAACCTTTAATATTTAAAGCTGCACATCTTTACAGGGACAGAAAACAGCTCATGAGTTTGAACTGCCAACCTTGTGGCTAGCAGCCCAATGAGTAACCCACTCTGCCGGAGTTACTCCAGAGAGTAAAAAGCAAGGGGAAAATGGCAGCAATAGGTCACAGACTTCAAGAGACATGCCACAACACCGTCTGGACCAACGGACAGTGTTAGGATGTCCTTGTAGACATGATGAGGCAATGGAGGGTTTTGTGCAGGAGAACAACATGATCTGCCTCTGTTTGGTCTGGGCTGAGAATGGACCACAGTGGAAAGGGGCAGAGAGACCCTTTCAGCAAACCACTGCAGGTACCAGGACCCAACCTGAAGTGGCTACAATGGCAACCTGGCAGAGATGACCGTTAACACGTGCTTTGAACCTGTGTGCATTGAAGAAGCAACCTCGAAGGCCATGCAGCTGGGCATCGAGATACATTTTTGCTCTGAATTCCAGGTCCATCAGGACTCAGCCAGCTGGAAAAGAGACCACCAAGAGGTGAGCCAGTCAGGATGCGATGTAGCAACAATGAAACATACAACT